CCCATGGACACAATTCCAAGTCTGCGGAAAAGACCTAAGGCAGGTCCCACATTTCATGTTAATTTAATTTTTTTTTTTTTTTTTTTTTTATCTCCGATGACCGGATTTTCTGTATGTCTCTTAAGCTGGGGTTTTCCAGGGATTCTTTCAATGTTTGTTTTGTTCCCCATTTTTTATAATTCCAAGTGCATTATTACCACTTATTATTCTTGTTTTCAATTTCCATTTTTTCTATTTCAATTTCCAGGTCTTTGTATTTTGATAGTTTTTCAAATTCCTTGGTTGCTATGTTACAATCCGCTGGACAAGCCATATCATTATTATTATTATTATTATTATTATTATTATTATTATTACCGCTACTACTAGTACTACTACTACTACTACTACTATTAGAGCCTGAAAACATCGGATATCTGATATTTGTCTCTTTTGACTCATGGACGGCCATTTTATTCAAATATCTACCTTTTCTACCAGTATTCGTTCATCTCGATTTTTCCGTGGTGTGGTTGGTATCGAAATATCTTTGGATCTCCAATATTCTTTCATTATTATTTTTAGGATGCTTGGAACAATTCCACATGTATCAAGTTCTTCAAAAAGAGAACAGCTTTGTGATATTTGTCTGGACGTCAAGATCATTAATATAGAATCTGATCCTCACCGAGTATCCTCATACTTATGACCTTTTGCGTGTTATATGTTTCTTTTTGTTTTTTTATCTTTTTTTGGGGGTGGGTGAGGGAGTGTAGGGTAACGTCCTTATAGTTCTCCCTTTTCGCTTTCAGTGATCCTAACTTTGTGATTTGCTGGAAGAATCATGTTCACAATTTGGAAAAAAAAGAGTATTCCCTCTTCTATATTTCTTCACATTTCGTTCAGCTTTCTCATTATTCGTATCTAGCGGCTCTCATAGAACAAATGAGAGAGAGAGCTTTCTCGGGAAACCTATTACTGATTTCAAGAATGATGTAATCAGGATGGTGGCACTGCTTCCTAGAATTTATAACTCTCCTCACCATTTTTACAAGACACGTTGAGATTGTTCCAAGCGCTTCATTAATAATAGATGCGACTGTCACTTTCATAATTCTCATTATTTTTACTATGTGCACCAAAATTTTATGCTTTGCTTCTACGAGAGACTGATCTTGGAAGGTAAAGTAACACTAACTATTGTGATATTTCTAGTACCGTTCATTTTAATCTGTAGTGACATGGACACGTGGCCGAGTGGTTTCACATTCTGACCATGAGACTCGGGTTCGAATCTCACCATAGTCGAATTGTCAGGAAGTTATCGGAGAGGAGTCGATCCCAGCGTGTGGCATCTTTGGAAAGTGCCTGAAATCCATAGCACGGTTTGAGCCAAGCCCTTTGAGTAAGATTGGGTAGACAGAACCCTTGTGCGCCATCGAGAGCTGTGCGGAAGTCATCGTGGCCGAAGGGCTTGATCACGCAATATAACACACACTTAACTGTGACTAAGGTCTGCTCAATGGGGTTGAATAAACACAAATGAGATAGGGATTGCTAGCCTCCCTCGTAGATGGGTATCCTCGAAGACGAATGGTTAGCTATACTATATACATACAATCTGCAGTGGATGTGCAAGTGATATAATGGATAGCGGACTGGAATGGGAAATCGGAGAGCAGAGTTCGAATAGCAGTCATTAAATTCCCTGAGGCGCAAATGCATTTGAGAATTAAATCATTTCATCTCCAGCTGTGCGTTTAATTTTACAATTGTATCTGGAAAAATCACTGCTATTCTTTAAATTGTTAGCGCAATATTTACTCGCGACAAATATTCTTACCCTCTAAAATAGGTTTCCGCTTCAAATAGACCAAAAGAGGGTGATAAACCGGAAAAAAATCTAATAAATCATTTATCTCCGTATTCTAATAGATTTTAGTAATATAGTAGTCTGTTTAAGAAGCAGAATTTTTCTGAAAGATGAAGATGCGAGCTACGAAAGAAAGATCTCAAAATCAACCAAGTAAACGGCAAACATGACACCGAAATCCGAAGACGCAATGGAAGAGCGAAATATGCCATCTCAAAGATGAAGAAAGTTTTGAGAAACGGGAAACAAATGAGAGCTGAACTTTTATTTAATATCAGCCCTTCTCTAAGCCAATGAAACTTACAGCTATATGCCGTTGAAACTACCGGTTCCCGGACGAAGATGAAGTTAAGCAATGTCAAGACTGGTCAGTAGCTAGATGGGTGTGCAGATGGTGTAATGGACAATGGCTTTGGATTGTTAATCGGAAAATTTTATTTTTAGTTGGGTTCTTTATCTTCACTTACGCGCAAATAACCTTGAGAAAAGTATGAATCCACCAATTCTGCCCTTAGCTACGGGTTAATTATTAAGACATGTATTACTAAATCATTATTATCTCCATCCAACACCCCCCCCCAAATTCTTACAATCTAAAAATATTTCCTGGCTTTAAATAACCTCCAAAGTGTTGGTAAACCGTAGAAAACGAATGAATCAATGAATAAAAGACAATTAATTTTCGACAATTTTCTCACAGACGAAGATGAATTTTGAAGTCGCAGAAACGTTGTTCCTAAGAAAGATGCTTAGAATACCATGAACAGATTATGTGAATAACGAGGAAGTTTTAAGGAAAAAAAAATAGAAACGAATAGGATATTACCAATTAGAATCATAAAGAGGCATGTAATAAGGAAAGGGGTTTGGAGAATATAATGCTCACAGGACATATTGAAAGGACGAATAAAACACTGCGTAACGACCTAACAAACTTGTGTTGATATCAGTACATAGAAAAGAAGTGAACTTAAAATCTAGGAATATTAAGAGGTTGTGGAGAGCCATTATCGACCATGTTCCGAATAGAGACGTTAAAGAAATGCAGAAGAAAAACTATTTTCTTAAATATAAGTAAAAGGTAAAACCTCAACTGTAATAATAGTATCCTTAATAGCGTATTGTCATCTATTTGTCAGAGTTGGAAGCCATGGTCGATAGAATGACGTTTCATTATAATCACAATGGTCAGATGAATAATTGATATATCGAGAAATACGAGTTAGAAAGATCTGAGAGACTTTCAGGGAAATAATGAAGTAATCACAATTTACTGATGAAAACCATCATCTGTTCGCTATGATCAGAAAGGATTGGAATCGATCAATCAGAATTAGTTCCTCGAGGTGGATCGATAAAGATGGAGGGAAGGTCAGTTATAGATAATGAAGTCATAAAATCGAAATATTGCAAAGAAAAAAAAAGAGGAATTTTTGTTTCCAAACAAATGCGGTTTTGTGATCAATTAGAAAACGAAAGAATTTTCGCTGAAATGAACGCGAAGACTTTTTATCTTTAGTCAGTCAAGAGTAAAGATCTATGTTTAAAAACAAGCAGCATCAAGTCTTCATACACACACACACACACACATATATATATATATATATATATATATATATATATATATTATGAATATAATGATTTAAAATATGTTTTTTTTCGCTACACAGTTCTAACCATGTTTCAAAAATGGAAGCTAAAAGCTAAATTTAATTTTGTGATTAAATTAAAGACATTAGTTCCATTTCATCCTCAAGCGAATTTTGGAGTAACTTGTAAAATTACTGGGTTTTAAATACACAGCTAAAACAAAATTCATGTTTCCAAGGTTACAGATAAATCTATTTTGCTATACAGGGGTGTCTTTCCGAAAAAAAAAAAAACATATTTTAAATCAATTAATTTATAATATTAATACTCTGTAAATTTACATCGAACACTATTTTGTAAAAATAAAAATATCTATAAGAACACCGGATTATATATCTTACTGTTCTTTCTTATATATATATATATATATATATATATATATATATATATATATATATATATAAATAAACATATATAAATATTTGTTGAAATATTTGTTAAATTCGTACACGTTAAAAGTGTCCAATTTCAAGCAGAAAAACTGAACTTGCAGGGCGATTTAATATCTTAAAAAAAAAAGAACGCTGACGAGAACACAAACGTGGTTTCGATCGCCATGGTCGCTTCAGGTTTGTTTGTTCAGCGATCATAACTGCAGTAAGTGTTCTGGTCAGCGTTCTTAGTTTTGTAATATATATATATATATATATATATATATATATATATATATATATATATATATATATATATGAAGAAATATTGTTTTAAGGTGTGCTATATTTATGGGATAGAGTACTCAATGTCAGATATAGAACATGTGTAAATATAAATATAAAAGTGAACATTGAAGTCAACACTTCAATGTTCACGTTAATATATATATATATATATATAGTATTAATGAATTTATTGTTAAACCGACATTTTGTTTTAATTTCAAACGTTAATTTTCGTGGATACCCGTGTTTGATAAAGACGCCACGTTTTTATTTTAAGCACTATAAATTACGTCTTAGTATACGCGGTGTGGTTTAATACGTCTCCGCATGGGAAATAAGAAAGCCGAGTTCGAATTTCACTCGGGTTCGTTGAATTTCACTTACGTGCGAGTAACTTTGTTAAATGTATAAATCCATCTTTTCACTCTCAATTTATGGGTTGCACAGCAGGACAGATTGTGTCCCATAGCCAGTCAACCTCAGAAAGAAACGACAGCCTACTGCGGGTAAACCTTCTGCCTAGTCAATCATGGTTTGAAAGAAAGATGATCGCCCAATCGTGTATCACGTACGGCACTTAAATAAAGTCTATCGGTCTGCATACACGAGAAAGCTTTAAAGATAATGTTCTCCCCGGTAGTACTCCAGCCTGCATCCTCCTTGTAGAAGAAACCATGATTTACTGCCATCCGTTCTCTCTGAATTCGTTGTGCCATGATCGAAGATGAGGTTATGTTCGATCATTTCATAGTTGAGTGATTGTATGTGACACCACTATAACGTTCTCTTTTTGCTTTCGTCACTAGGACTAATCCGACGCCCGCCTTGCAAACTGCACTTTAAATATGGCGGCACTTGGGAGCAGTTTGATGTAAAGGAGGGAAAGTCTGTTGAAAGAAGGAGACGTTAAAAGGAAAAGAGAAATTGACTAGGGAAATATTTGAGTTGAGGGAGTCGGTAGTAAAGAAAAAATTAAAAAAAGATATAAAACGGAAAGTATTATCAAGAAAGAGTAAAATGAAGTAAAAGGAAAGAAGAAGAAAAGAAAACTCAGATAAATCTGGTAGTTCAGACTAACTTTTATAGTTAGATAATGACATGCCACTTCTAAGCGGTCGAATCGGCCTCATTTCCTGCATATTTCAAATGTAATGTGACAGTTTCATCCCGACAGAGTTTTTTCAAAGAAATGCTACATATTTAAATAGGCTTCTGTGTAGAAGCTACCCTGAACTCTACAAGGTTAACCTCTTCAATTCAAGGGTCAATCGTTATCTATCCTTCTTATCCTCATAATAAACTTCCTACGTCCGCCTCTTTCATTAGTTACATCTACTTTAACAGTAAGCATTTATCTTGAGTAATTTTGAATTTTGTAATTCATGAAAATCTACTCCCATGAACTGAATAAAGGTTTTGTCTCGGTGTACAGAAAAACATGGCGAGTACGACAACAGATAACCGAGTTAGTCAGTTTTGTTTGGTTTTGTTTTATGACATATCAACCTCAGTGTGTTATTTAATGCCGACAAATTTTTTTTTTATTGATGGTAATATTTTTTTTTCCAAATATGTATTGCTGATAAGGTTTTTTCCCTGAAAAACATATTGCTAGCATTTTTTTTTTTTTTTTTTTTTTTGGGGAAAATGTATTGGGGTAAAATTTTTGCTATTGTTAAATATTTTATATTGTTGCTAATATTTTTTCGAAAAATATATTGTTAGTAATATTTTTATTTTCTCGAAAATATATATTATATTTTTTTCCAAAATGTATTGCTAATATTTTTTTCCAAAATATATTATTGGTAATAATTTTTTTCTCAAAAAATATATTGTTGGTAATAATTTTTTTTAAAAAATATATTGCTGGTAATAATTTTTTTTCTCAAAAATATATTGCTGGTAATAATTTTTTTACAAAAATATATTGCTGGTAATAATATTTTTTTCCCAAAAATATATTGCTGGTAATAATATTTTTTTCCCAAAAATATATTGCTGGTAATAATATTTTTTTTCCAAAAATATATTGCTGGTAATATTTTTTTCCAAAAATGTATTGCTGGTAATAATTTTTTCCCCAAAATGTATAGCTGGTAATAAAATATTGCTGGTAATATTTTTTCTTTACAAATTCATTTCTGGTAATATTTTTTACAAAAATGTATTTCTGGTATTAAAACTTATTTTTATACTTACATAGTGTTTTGACCACAGTTTGGGGGTTAAGTATTTGCCCATAGCTGGTACTTTAACAGATGCTACCACCCTGGGTCAGCAATTAAAAAGTGGTTACACACTCCTCAAAACATCCTGATAATTAGCCTTGCTGTTGGATGTATTTTATCGTCTTACCCAGGACGAGGATGTAGTTTATTGTAGAGGGCAACAGCCGAAATGTTTTGCGCATTACCACCAAGATAGATATGGTACTGCATTTAATAATATCCTCAGATTCACTGTTAAGTTAGTCATCAATTTCAATGCGATTTTATTTGTGTCTGCATCTGTGTTTTTATCTGCAAGTGTGTGCAACACTTTCGTACGTGTGTACCTTCCAGCAACTGATTGGAGACATACGAATGTGTCGCAAGAAATTTGGCACATCACCTATAGAAGCGTGAATGACCTAATCAGACAAATGATTATCTGAGAATAGATATAAAACAATATGAATTCAAGCGACTGAGAAAGAAAAAGGGAGAGAGAGAGAGAGAGAGAAAGAAACGTTAAAGTAAATGTCCCATTTAAATTCGAAAACTCTTGTCCATATGAAAGCCAAGCATCTCGCCGTCCGAGTTCTTTCAGTGCTAACAGTCGAATCGCGTGAGAAGCCTCTTCTTGAACTGGATGACGTGTGTAATGTAACGGCAAAGTACTGTCCATTCGGTCAAGTCACTCTCTCAAAGTCCATTTTACAACACCATTTTCCAGACGATGAAGTAAGTCTGTCCATGAATTTATATCAATTATTGACACCGACATTAGTTTCACAGTGGTCGGGCGCAGCTGGAGCTATTACGCATGCGCATTGTGTTCTACTTTCGCTTGTCTTTCAACTCGGATGGTAGCCAAGGTGCTACATTAAATGTCGAATGACTGCAATTACGATTCTCGGAAGACAAACACGGATTTTTAAAAAAATGATTTTTCCTCCTATCAGCTATTTTCATTTCGCTCTTATTTCTTTTCGATATTTTTCTGAACTCTTCCTTTTTTACAAAAAAAAGTTATGGACAACGCTTTTTTTTTCATTAAATGCTTTTTTCTATGTAGTTGATGTCTTCTTCACCTTTTCTATTTCTCCACGTTGCTTCAAATTGCTCACGAAGTTTTATCTTTCTAGCATCACATTTTTCCACCACGATCTCTCTTAATCAACAAGATTTTTCCTTTCACCTCCTTTCCTTTCACTTTGCTTACATTTTACTCATTTAATATCACTTTCCAATTTCTTTTCATTCTTTAAATTTACCACCGACAAACTGAACTGAAAAGCTTCCCTATTCTATTTCTCTTTTCCTTTCATATTCTCTTTCTTTTCCACTACACGTTCCCGCCTTTCCCTCGAACTGTTCCAAAAGGCCGCCATATTTAGAGTGCAGTTTTAAAGGCGGACGTCGGATTAGTCCTAGTGACGAAAGCAAAAAGAGAACGTTATAGTGGTGTCGCATCCAATCAATCAACTATGAAACGATCGAACTTAACCTCATCTTCGATCAAGGCACAACGAATTCAGGCTAGAAGGAATTCATGAACGGAAAACATAAGCCGTTTGTAACAGCTATAAAAACGCAAAAAGTGATGAAAGTCTTTCAATAAATGGATGCAAAAAGAAACAGTAAAAACATTAAAAACAATGACATTCATCATATTATATACCCAGGAAAAATAAAACGTTTCCTAAGTCTCTTATGTAAAAATCTGGGAAAAAAAAATTAAGTCCTCTGATTTCGAAAGCCCCCCCCCACACACACACATATCATTTTTAATATTTAGTTAAAAAATTGTTTACTATTTTTTATTTATTCATTTTTTTTATTTTGAGGTTTTTCTTTTTTGTTTTCTATTTACGCTAACGTTTATATTGTTTTCATATTTCCCGACATCAATTGACACGTACGAAGGCGATACTATGGAAGCACAAAGGAAGAAAAACGGCCAGCTGTAGTCGGAATCATATTAATACACGAAATTCTTTTGGTAAAGGCTTACAGAATTTGAAAGAATGCGCAATCTAATGGGATATGTAAATACAAAAAGTTGCAGGAAAGCAGAAAAAATAGCCTGAACTGAAAAATATAAATAAAATGTTAAAAGAAATATTTCATTGATCTTCAACGAAGATTTTGCAAAAGATGAACTTCGGAAAATTTCTCATGGAAGGATCTCCTTGTCTGAAAAGGAATAATCGTCACTTGTAAAAGTCGATGATAAAAATTAATCAACAGAAAATGTCTGGCATTTTCAATAGTATTTTGCTTGAAAGAACAGTAACTGACTAAATACACAGAATATATATATATATATATATATATATATATATATATATATATATATATATATATATATATATAAATACAGAATCCTCATATATATATATATATATATATATATATATATATATATATAATGAAGAAACAGGCCACTTTAAGGTACCATTACAATAATTTATTTCACCAAAATCCTTTTGAAGGACTCCGAATCATCAGGTACCACTTCCAACAACGAAATGAAAGGAAAAAAAATCTTTTTACATATAAAATCATTTATATATATATATATATATATATATATATATATATATATATATATATATATATATATATATATATATATATATATATATATATATATATATATATATATATATATATATATATATATATATATATATATATATATATATATATATATATATATATATATATATATATATATATATATATATATATATATATATATATATATATATATATATATATATATATATACATATATATATACATATATATATATATATATATATATATATATATATATATATATATATATATATATATATATATATATATATATATATATATATATATATATATATATATATATATATATATATATATATATATATATATATATGGGTCTGTATATGTCTGTGTGTCTGTGTGTGTGTGTGTGTCTCTGTGTGTCGTGTACCATAATGTGTTACCCGACATTTTCACTGTCAGCGTTCAGAAAGAAGCTACAGCAGGAATACTGTCATGTCCTGAATATAGAAAGGACTGTGTGAATCTTGCAGGTCTCTAAAGCCATTCGGAATATCATTAGCGACGAAGTAATGATATTTAAAATATGTGAAAACAGAAGGTTCGAGTGAAAGAGTTGGACTCAATCGGTCACGTGGACTTCCACCATCTATGTATATATGTATGTAATTGTATTACAATAAGTTGTCAACGTAATTTTCTTCATTATTATATATAACCAAATCACGTTTAATATTGACGAGATGCTTATTTTCTATTTATTATATTACATTGAAAATTTGTGTTCTCTAAAATATACTATGCAATATATATGTTATTAATATTCAAAAGTAGTCTCCCCTTGTTTTGTTACTCTCCGCTTTGAGAGAGCTATTTCTGTGTACTGGGACTATAAAAGTACAATATTCGCGAGCCTTGTATTGTCAGTTGAATAAAGGTTGCTTAAAGCCTACACCTGCGTATTTCTGTTATTACAATATAGTCGGTTTTTGCGCGTAAAATTCGACTGACTTTAAAATTCCTGCCGTTACATAAACTTTCGCTCAAATACACTTGCAAAATTCTGAATTTAGTTCGTCTCACAAATTCAGCTAGGAATTAATAATACGACATACTGGACTATAGAAGGTGAGTCTGTAACCTTATACACTACCAGGAAGCTTATATATGTTCTATTTTTTTTTCTGTTATAAATATAAAATATCGTTTCTATATAAGATGTTTAAGCTGCATATAATGTCTGTGATTATATTGCGATGATAAACTCATCTTTTAATCTCACAGATGATACAAGAAACCCATTAGTAAACATTTTAATAAACAAATTTTAAAACACAGATCTTCATGGGAAATGAATTCATAGAGTCGCTAGTTATGGATAAAGCATCTTTAATATTAACCTGAGTTCTCTAAAGAATCTAATCTAAAGAGAACGACATATATAAATCAATAAGGAATACAATTACGTTTATTGTTTTTTTCCCTTCAGGAAATATATATATATATATATATATATATATATATATATATATATATATATAAATATAAATATATATTCCCCCAGTTTGACAGCTAATTCCTCATCGTGAAAAAAAAATCATATATGTACAGGGACAATATCCAAATTGGAAAGCTTTCAATACTTCATGCGCATTTTCTGCCCGTTTAAATATTGTTCATTGATTGGCTAATGTCCAATAGCAGTGACCAATCAAATAATCATTTCCAGAAATGCCGAAATCAGAAAACAATGATATATCGAGTAGAAAGAGGGGCAGGTAACTCTGAAATTAATATTAGTGAAACGGGAGAACGTTTTTAGAGTGTAGTCCTAAAGAAACATGATTAATTCAATACCAGTAAATGTTATTCCAGTGTGAAATTAATATTTAAGATAGAAAATCCGAGTCTTTTCCAATTCGCTAATTGCACGCATTTACTCTGCTAGCCATTAGCCAAAAGTCAATGGTTAGAACTCAGGAGATATTTTCTAAACAGAAATATTTTCTTGATATAATATATATATATTAAGCGTTTCATCCCAAGCAAGGCGGGAAGCCACTAGGACGCAAGTGGTTACAGAAGATTTGGGGCAAGGTCAGATAGGAGTGATAGAGGAAAGGATGAGGAGAAGGATAGTGGATTGATCAAGAAAACTGGAGATGTCGATTGACATTACATTTGAATATTTGGAGATTATAGCTCTCAGGGAAACTGGAATAGGGAAGGGAGTTCCACAGGCGAGAGGTGCGAGATATGAAGCTATTGGAGTAGGAGAGACGGCTGCATTTAATAGTTTCGACAGTGAAAGGGTGAGAGCGGGATGCCAGCCTCGTAGGGCGCTTGAATTCATGAAGTCTGGGAACCAGCGAATGCAGCTCCTCGGATCAAATATATATATATATATATATATATATATATATATAATCGTTTCACCCCAAGCAAGGTAACAATGCCGCTAGAACACAAGGGCTTACAGGGAATGGAAGTTAAAATGAATGAGAATAAGTTGATTGAAAATGGGGAGGATTGAAGAAAGGACAAAAATGAAAATGTTTCAAGAAAAGTGAAAATGGCAATTGACACTGCATTTAAATTTTTAAAGATTGTAGTTGTCAGGAAATCGGAAGTGAGTTTCACAGGCGTGAAGTGTGCGAAAAAAAATTTGAGTAGAAGTGTCAGTTGCATTTAGATAGTTCAACAATAAAACAATAAGACCTAATTTCTTAAATTAATGTAGTCGGGGTACCAGGAAAGAAAGCTCATCCTGTTAACCATGCTCCCCATAGTCTATGAATATAGAATACAGTTCGGTATGTAATCTGTTCAATGAAACAACGTTAAAGATTAATACTCACGAGTCAGACACTCTACTGAATCTGCCTATATCGCCAATACTACCAGCAGCTGTTCCGTAATTCTTCAGTCTTCGATATCAAAAGCTGGCTGCCAGTGAATATTCGGAAAAAAAACATGGCCGCCTTTATACGTGTCGCATTGAATATTTTGAGCCTTCTGATTGGTTAACCCTTCTATTGGTGAACTATAAAATGTGTCAGCTCATTTTGGCTAGCTCACTAGTACTGGGGTACCCAAAAATTTCAACACATCCGAGGTGCC